CTCTGCCACATTGATACGAGTCCCTATAGGTCACATGGTAAAGGTGAGTTTCAAGGAAGCCTAGGCTTTTCCCATATGACATTTCCGTTGTGTGGTTGTTTATGAAGCAAAGTTGCATTTGCTTTTACAATCTACCATATTAAAAGGTAGTGGAAAAGCCGTAAATAAGTATAATCTAAAATTTAAAACAGTTATAATTGGATTGCTGATTTAGATAAAGCATAATAGCATCTATATAACTCATCAAGTAACCGGCAAGCTTGACAAAGGTTGGTGGCTCAAGTTCATTCTGGGTAGGAACTCTGGCCATCTAATGCCATCTTAAGTGATGCAGAATTGATAGTAGAATTTCCCACATTGATGTGAATATAAAGCCGCATGATTCCATTGATTTTCACCTAGCCTCGCCACTCAAAAGGCTGATAGTCTCGAAAACCTATCTAAAAAAACAAATATAAGAAAAGTAGTCGATTGTAATAACAAATACAATTTTGCTTCATCGACAATTCCACCACAGAATGTGGTATGGGTAAATGCCTGGTTTTCCCTGACATTCAAATCTGCCCTGTAACCCAAGGACACTCGTGGCAATATGGCGTAGTGATTAACGTGTAGAGATTATACGCTGCACTGTCATGGTTCGAGCCCCGCTGAGGGCATTAGTAAGATCTAGGCGAGGCCGAAACTGCAGCTCACTCTTGATGAAAACACCATCTGGGAAGCAAAACTACGCGAAACTTAACAGAAACATGAGGCATATTTATATCATTGTGAAGGAATTTCCCTACCACCTTCATCACCTTAGACATAATATGATAAATATATTTTTCGCATGTAAGTAAAATTTCGAGAATACCAGCAAATCAGTAATATGAGATGTATACACCCTAATAAGTTTAAGGGGATGAAGAGTAGAGCTGACGTTTCCATTGATTTTCGCATAGCTTTGCTTGCCCAAAAGTTGTTCTCATCCAGAGTGGACTGCAGTTTCAATCTCGCATAGGTCTTATCAACACCCTCATCGGTAGTCGAACCGTGACAGTGTAGAATGTGAGCCACGAGTGTCCTTAGGTCACAGGGCAGACGTGGTAAACGTGTAAAGTTCACGTTCTGCACTGTCACGGTTCGACTCCCACTGGGGGTGTTGATAAGACCTATGCGAGATCGAAACTGCAGTCCACTCTGGATGAGAATAACTTGTGGGTAATCAAAGCTATTTGAAAATCAATGGAAACGTCAGCTCTACTCATATCATTATACTACCAGTCCCTTATCACCTTAAACGAAATAAGGTGAAAACATCTCATATTAATGACGAATATAGTTCCCATGAAATAAAATATTCTTGCAGATAGACAAGTGCTTTACTTGGCGCCATGCTCTTGGTTAAATACAAAAACAAATAGGATTCACATAGAAAACCTAATCTTTGCTACACCATCTTTGGTGACACTAAGAGAATAAAAGATTTCCTCAGAAAGTAAAATGAAATGAATCCACAGTTTTTTTAGATGAATGCCCCTCGATCTAATTCGCAAAATCGTCCATAGTATCCGCTTATTTAAGGAAGACGAAAACGCTATAAGAAGCAAAAAGTAGTGAGCTTGCGCCATCTATGAGCGTACCCCAACCAGGCGTCAGTAAATTCCGTTTAAGAATGCAAAGCGGACTATATTTGGTCACACCTGGAGATTGGTGGGACTGATGCAATCTCCGATGTTGCTGCTGCTGCTGTTGTTGTCTTGGCTGAAGGTTCTTGTATTGAGAACGATGTTGATTTGGTCGATGTTGTAGATGCTGCTGTCCAGCTGAGCCAGTTTCTACCGCAACCTCAACCTGATCACAGACCAATCCGTTGCAACCGTTGCTTGCCCCAGCCGGACGAGTCTGTCTGCCAATGGTGCTGACAGCTCGATAGCAGAGCCGGCAGTAAAGCAAACCACGCTTGATCTGCACTGAGGCGTCGGACTGCCCATCCCCAAGAGGGCAGGAGCAACGAGAACATATGAAGCAAGCTAAATGGTAGTATAGACTCAGCGATTCGATCACCATTAAGTCACCTGAGCCTAGTTCCAAGAGAATAAGAAGAAAATAAACGTATGAGAAGCAACTAATCACTTCTGTAAAACTATTCCATTTAAAGTAGAATAGATACGAAGAGAAACTTGGTTTCGATGAATCTCCTGAGATAACATTGTTAGGGGGACCTTCATTTC